AATCTGAGAATACATGTCGGCTTTTCCCCACAATGCTCCTCTCTGTCTATTCTTCCAGACACGAACAGATCTCCGTTCCTCGGGTTGATCCCGACATACTGTTTGTCACTTCCTTCCATTTCCACACGAGCTTTCCGAGCAGACAGCCTCCCTGAATCCAGTCCCAGATCCTTGGCGATGTTTCCGATCACAGATCCGTGTTTCAGCTCCTCCTGGACGGAATAGGTCAGGTCTCCGTGTGCGCAGTGCAGCACAAAGAAGACAAAGAGGAGGCCGCGGATTTCAGCAAAACACCGTCTGTACTCCATCATCAGCTGTTCTACACGCGATCAAACCACGTGGTTACAATCAATGAAGAGATTATTTTCTATCAGAACATGAGCTTTAAGAGCTTTGGTCTCCAACGTTATACGACAGAGAACAAACACTGACCGATCCCAGTAATGGAGGATTTGCAGTCCACGTTCACTGGTTGTTGTTGCCCTGGTCTATACTGACATCTTCAGTAGAAATTAAATATAACCACTAACATTATTATTATTGTTTATTTTTTTTGCAAAAAAACAAACTTGATTTACATAGTTGTAGAAAACGTTCAAAAAATATTTAACGTGTTTACCAAGACAGTAAATCATAAAGCTCATAAAGAGTGTTTTTTATAAAGTTTATTTAGCGAAAGCGCATATTTTAGCATTTTAGTCCAAACGTGACACTTTTCTAAACTTAAAATAAACTCATATTTGTGTGCATGTCCATTTTGTTTTTATTTATTTTATTTCATTTTACACATATAGATTTTGAAATTGAGTGTGATTTTCACTTTAAAGGGGTTTAAAATATAGTGTAAAAATAAACAAACAAAACAAAACAAACAAACAAACAACAACGGTCCATCATAATATTTGGTCCATAAACACGCACAGCAAAAGTGACCACAGAGCTTCTGTGAGTTGTAGTTCAAAAAGAGGCGATTTGAAGGAATGACAACTTTGGGAAAAATACAACATGAGAAATACTGCTGTTTTTTTACAATAAAAATATATATATATAAAAAAAAACTGTTTATCATAAATTTAAAACTAAAATTAATTTTGTTTTATAATTTAAAAAAAAGTAAAACTAGAAAAGTGTTAGGAAACAAAAATGAGCAAAGATACTTTTTATTAGCTGTTGAAAAGGACACCGGATTTCAGAACCAAGGACAGAGACAGAAAAAGAATAAAATGTTTACTCCAATCCATCCATTAGTTTTACCATCTAATGAAAAACATTTTCAATTCAATGAAACCCATACCAGATTGTGCAAAAGGTGAAAAAATAAACATGCATTGCATTATCAAAGTCAGTGCAACGGAAACAAACAAAAATTTATAAGCAAATAAATAAAAATGCATAAATGATTAAGGATGCAATTCCAATATATAATTTAGCATTAGATGGTACTGAATGTATCTCCTTCTTTTTTTGATTTATTTGAAAACTTTAAAAAAAGGAAAGTTGGAACTGGTGTATCTAGTAAATAAGTAAAATCATGAACAGTGGGTTAAAAAAAAAAAAAAAAAAAACAGTCCAGAGGAAAATTTAGGAAGTAAATGCTCTTTAGTACAAATTGTATACATGAAAAACTACAACATCAAACACTCACCAACAGTGAAAGTTCCATTCTATTCAGAACCACGAACCTAGAAAGAACGTCCTACAAGTATTCATTCATTAATAAGACAAAATATTTTTTAAAATGTTGGAAGACAAGGACATGCTAAAATGTTATCATTGTAGTAATTTATCAATAAATTTCAAGATAAAATTGTATAAAAAGTCCCTGAGCACAAAATGAAAAATTCTTGTGAGTTAAAAGACAATCTGTAAACCTCAAATATGGAAAGTCAAACCAGAGCATTTCATTTTATATTGGTATATATTTGTTTCCATTATTGCAATTTAAAAATAGATAGAATGTACAGAATTTATACTTTAAAGAATATAAACCTTTTTAGCAAGCTAACATGTAAAAGTATTGAGTAGCATTGAAATGTTGACAGATGCATTTTTGACACATCCAGACAAAGTAAAACACAATGTCAAAGGCAAATGATAAATAAGACTAAGTCAGAGGGAGACTGCATAAAACACCATCTGAGTGAAAGACTGAAACTAGATCCATAAAAAATAAAAAATAAAAAGAATGTGCCTTCTAGCAGATACCCACACAGACATATGTTAAAGCAGAAACTGATACGTGGTGAAATATTCAAACTAGATTTGTTCTCAACTGTTGGACCAGTGCAAGGTGTTGAACACCTGACACACACACACACACACACACAAAGACATTGAATGGAATTGAACAGCATAACACAAGGACGCATTCCTTAATCTGACAAATTAAACATTTCTTGCTCCAGTATTGAAGTGTTATAACCCTGTTGAAGGGCTAACAAGTCAGAGAAATTCTTCAGACTCATGTTTTTTTGTGCAGCACTTTGCAACCAATTTAATTACTTTTGATAGCAGAGCAATTATTCAAAACGCTGTGGCAAGGAACTGAATAAAGAATTTCTAGCAATAATTTTCTGCATGAAAATATAGACTATATGAATGGCCATAAAATATATTTTTCAGAACAATCACAAGTCAAAAAAAAAACACGGTTAAAACAAAACTGAGTGGGCCAAAAAGGTAACAAGCTATGATGTTGTGAACACAGAAGTATGATATAGATATCATATTTGCAGGGAAGGTACTTGTCACAGTCAGACACTCTTAACACAGCCTATCCACCAAAGAGACCACCAGTCTAAGATGAATTAGAGGCAAATGGTGAAACACTTTCCAAATTCAGCAGACAAACTAAATGATAGGGAAAAAAAACAACCAAAGAAAAAGACAAATCACTCCAACATCTTATTATAACATGACTCAATTACGGCCTAAAGACTAGCTAAAAATAACAAAAGGAATCTGCTTATTGTCTATTACTTCATGAGTTGAGCCACCAGGATGTATAGTCTTGAGGTGAATGCACTATCATCCAGGATGCCATGAGGACTGTCGAGAGAATGTGTCTACTGGCAAAACATGAACGGCTATATCAAAGTATATGGAGCTCAATGTGACATGTGTTATTGCACCAAAGCAGAGTTGTAAATGAAAGCAAACATGTTGAAACTAAAAATGTATTGAATATTTTAAATTTGAAGAACAAATGCATATGTCTATTAGACACCTACAACAGATCAGAGACCAGACCAGGCTGAACAAACTGGACCAGGTGAGGATCCAGATGATCCCAATGCAGAAACTCTGGAGAGGTGCTGAGAAGAACCAGCAGGAGGCTCCTAAGAGGTTCTGTTGCAATCTGACTATGAGTAGAAGAAATAAACACTTCATGCAGCTAAAATTATCATCAGTGACCCTCAATGTTAATATCATGATTTTGTGACAAAATGCTAAAGGGTGTGAGACATGAACATTCAGAGATGGCTAATGTCACAGAACAAAAACACAGACACAGTAGTAAAGGAAACATACATGTTTAAATCAGAGGTGGTTGCTAAGTGAAGTTGCAAGAGATTTGTGAAGTTGCACACACAGCAACAACAAATACATCATCATCATCATCATCACCATCATCATCAACAACAAAAACAACAACAACAACACATTAACATATATATGTCATGTGGCTAAAAAGAGGATTGCTGTATACTAATGTTTGTATTAGCATTCACCTGAAAAGTTTTGGAATGCAAACAAACAAAAATGATGTGATGAGTTCTACATGTTGGACACTGACATGGTTATGTTTCACTTTTTGTAGAGCTAAATAAATGACAATTTAGAGAAGGGGTTAATGTTTTGAACAAATATGATTTATGAGTTGCTAGTAAATTTATCTAGAAATAAGGACATACTTGTTTTTTTTAAGTTTCAATGTTAAGCATTGAAATTTGCATTTTTATAATAAAATAATGTTTATTACAGGCTAAACAGTTTCCTTTTTTATTTGAGGACAGGAAATATATGCTGATTTTATGGTTGTAAAAAAAAAATACAAGCATAAAAGCCAAAAAATATGATTCAGATAAAGATGGAAATTATTCTAAAAGGCAATTTAGAAGACTTGAACTAAGTATTACATGACCATTAAACTTGTAGAAATCATAATGCTCCAGTTTTAAAATGAGATAGAGACATGGACTGGAATTAGACAAATCTTGACTCCAGAAAAAAAAAAAAAAAAAGGTCAAGTTTCTATGGTGTGAAGAACATTGTGTGGTTTCCATGTAGGTTATGACGGAGAATTCAAACCAGCAAGAAAAGTAAATAAGTTAAGACAAAATTAAAATATAATTAACTTGTTCCTACCTCAGGAGAACTGTCAGAACCTCCAAACACATCAGCAAACTGAGCTGGACTCTTGTTCAGAGTGTGGTCAGCAGGCAGCGTGTTGTCATTGTAGGATGAGACAAACTTAAAGTCACTGGTTCTAGATCCTGTTGTCAGGTACGCGTCATAATTGTAGGAGCTGCGTAAAGTTCCTGTGCCGTCAACATCTGTGTAATTAGGAGGGAGATAAGCGCCGGGGATGGCAACTGCTCCATCAAACAACAGTCTGGGCTTTCTCCTGCGACAGAACCTCACACCCAGGATGATGATGATGAAGGTGAGGAAGAAGGTGGACACACAAACCAGCGCGATGATCAGATAAGAGGTCAGTTTGGAGTTCTTCTCCTCATAAGAAATATCTTTGAGTTCTGGCACCTCAGCCAAGTTATCAGAAATCAGTAAATACATGGCGCACGTGGCAGACAGAGAGGGCTGTCCGTTATCTTTCACTGCCACAATCAGGTTCTGTTTCATGCTGTCA